ACACACAAAATAATACACAAACACTTACAGAAAAAAACACTCACACACACATACACTCAAACAAAATACACAAACAAACACACAGAAGAACACTCACAAAAAACACATGTGCATACACACACACACCAACAAGATACACAAATACAGACACACCCACACACACAAACACGCACACAGAATACACAGACGCTCAAAAAAGAATAAGCAATCACACACACACACACACACACACACACACACACAGAAAAACACTTGCACATGTACACTCACACACACACACACGGTAGGAAAACACTTGCATACACACAGAAAACACACACATAAACTCAAACAGAATACACAAACATACTTGTACAAACACACAAACACACACAAAAACACTCACGTATGCACAAACGCACATACACACACTCACTCACATGAAATAAGTAGTTTTATTTAGTATGAATAAAGATGATGATGATCATTTAGTTGACTGTAATTGAAATAAATGTTAAACATTTCCAATCCGTGCTGCACTTATGAACTTTCTTGTAATCAAAGAATCCTTGAAAATAAAATGTGCCACTGTTTCCACTAAAATAAGAAACAAAATCATTGTGTGATTTCTGAGGGATCATATCACACTGAAGACTGCAGTAATGCTGCTGAGAATCATGCGTTACATCACAGGAAACAGAACATTTTGAAAAAGATTACAGTACGGGTTTCTCATGTTGTTGTATTTGTGTGTTTTCTGCTTCAGATGTATATTTTGTGACGTGGGCCGCGTCTCACGAAGGACGTTCCCCTGGTCAACCCCTTCCACCCCACGGCAGAAAACTGGCACGTCTGAACGCCAGTGACCTCAGTGAGATCATACACAAGGTCAGAAAATAAATCAAGAATCTTTTACTTTTATTGACATATAAAGCTGTTTTTACATCTGTATCTTCATCTGTGTTAATCACGTTCAGAATTACGGTTTAAAGCAGGGTTTCTCAACCACCTTCCTGGAGGACCACCGTCACTGCATGTTTTGGATGTTTCCTATTGTTGTTATTTATTATTACAAATATTATTATTATTATTATTATTATTGTAATTTATTTTTATTTATTATTATAATTTTTTTAAATTATTATTGTAATTTATTGTTATTTATTATTATTATTATTATTATTATTATTATTATTATTATTATGTTTATTATTATTATTATTATTATTATTATTATTGTAATTTATTGTTATTTATTATTATTATTATTAACATTTTTATTTTTATTATTGTAATTTATTGTTATTTATTATTATTATTATTATTATTATTATTGTTATCTATTATTATTATTATTGTTATTTATTATGACTATTATTGTTATTTTTGTGTTTATTATTTTTTATTATTATTGTTGTTGTTATTTATTATTATTTATTATTAACATTTTATTATTATTATTATTATTATTATTTAGCTGTATTTGTTTATTTATTAAATGTAACATATTATGTAAAATAATATTAATCAGACTTATTTATTTTCATTTTTTATGAAAAACAAGAATGTCAAAATACAGGAAAATTTGCTGAAACAAAAATATAGTCAATACATTATAATTAAACAACAAATTATTGTTTAAACTACAGTACTTTTATTTTTTGTTTAATTATTAATTTATTATTTTGTCATATTATTCGCTATTCATTTTAGGCAAGATTGCATTTTAGGCAAGATGTCCTTTGATACAGTTGTACAGTTTAATTTTTGTATCTTCAAATTAATATTTTTTATAAAAGAAAAAAGCATAAATGAATTAAATAATGAAAACATGAAAAAATGATGAATAAATAATATAGGAAAAAATTATTATTAATTATAAAAAAAACATAACAATTCCCTTCAGCTGGAAGAGCATCCGCTGCGTAAAACATAAGTTGGCGGTTCATTCTGCTGTGGCGACCCCAGATTAATTAAGCGATTAAGCCGAAAAAAAATGAACGAATGAATAATAATCCCCTCCCAAAAATTATTAAAACTTTACACACAAACACACACACACACACACACACACACACATAAAATTCCCATTTATGACATATAAAACTGATATAAACATGTAAAGCTTGTAGTTTGTCACTTCCGCCTGAATAAATCCACATTTTTATTTCTCCTCAAATCATCTGACCAATCAAAAGCTCTCTAGTATCTGACATGCCCCGCCCCCTTCAAGACACTTCCCATTTGATGTGCCTGAGCTCAACCACTCTTACTGGCAGAGCAGTGATAAAAATGAAATGCTATTGGCTGTTTTTTCTAAAAGGGGAGGAGCTACACTGTGTCCTGTCCTCTCTTTATATTTTAGCTATGTCAAACATTAATTAAAAGAATGCACATTTCAGAAGCACTTGACGGGACCTTTAATAAATAAAACTGTTAATTACTAAATTGAAATGAATGAGTGTGTTTCTGTGTGTCCTCAGGGAATCGTCCTGTACGGTCGTGATAACCGGGAGCTGGATATCCTGCTGTTTCCTGAAGTTCTAGACTACATGTCTCGAGTAGACCGTGTGTTGACCTCTCCTGGCGGTTCGCTGCTGCTAGCAGGTCGCAGTGGTGTGGGTCGGCGCACGGCTACATGTGTGGTCAGCCACATGCACGGAGCCACTCTCTTCACACCCAAAATCTCCCGCTCGTACTCGCTCAAACACTTCAAATCTGACCTGAAAACTGTGAGTTTGGCCTCAGTGTCTGTGTGTAGGCATAAGATTCTGACGGTATGATAACCAACCCAAGCTCATTCTGGAAACGTAGCCCCGCGGAGACCGCGATTTACGTGGCCGGAGGTACGTATGGCCGCATTTAGTTTTTTTCGAGAGAACGCTACTGGGCGGTGTGACGCCGCTCCTCCTCTTCGCGCTCGCTGGCTGCCGGCTCACCTCCGTGTGGAGGGCTTTTCCGCCGCAGCCAGTTTGTCCACTTAACTCGCAGCGTTACGTCGGCGGAGCGACCACGGGATCGAGTCCGGGGAAGAGCGGTTCCAGAAATCAGGTAAGATGACAAACAGAATCCAAAAATAAAAGCGAACGAGTTTGCGACGGGGCGAGATCCGAAAACGCGGTCAAAATCGGACGAGGGCTTTTGCTTTTTTTTTTTTTTCTAGACGGCTTTTGCAAATCGTCGCTTGGGTTTAGGGAAGGGGAAGGAGGAGGGCGGCTGGGTCAGCCGATTGGCCGCCCGGCCACCCAGTCGATCGCTCAGTCATTCAGCCAGTCAGTCGGACGGACAGTCGCTCTGCAGCGGCTTCCGGTGGCTTTTCACGCGAGAACAGCGCGGGCGCGAACAGCGCGCGCTCCCGATAGGCGTTTGAGACGTGAAAAAACGCGCACAGCGGCCTCTCGCGGATTCGCGAAAACAAAAACTGCTCGAATACGTACCTCCTGGGACGTATTTCGCTGTCTCCAGAAACGTCCGCGGGGCTACGTTTCCACAATGAGCCCAGGTTGATGATAACCTTGGATAAAAATATCACAGCATTGTGGTTACTGCTCTAAAATGTGGTCCTTTTTATTTGTAGCGGATTTAAAACCTTGACTTTTCTAAACCGCAGGAAACCTTGAAACTGCTTATCATCCCATGCCTATCTGTGTGTGCTATATCACTCCAGCATCACGTTCACACACTCTTGTCTCCATCTGTAGGTCATGCATTCGGCCGCTGTGGACGGACAGCAGGTGGTTTTGCTGTTAGAAGATCATCAGTTTGTTCATCCTTCCTTTCTGGAGATGGTCAACAGTCTGCTGTCCTCAGGTCAGTTTCTTTCTTACCAAATATATTTACTATTGCTGGGTAGTGTTGTCATGATACTGTAATTTCGATACCAATTGGTACTGAAATTTAAAAAAAACATCCATTTCCTGCTAACATTTAAGTGCTGTGCGATGCATACTTAAACACTGCATTTGTTGAACAGTGGTGAACTGATGACCTTCACGACCAATCACTGTCATTTCTGTTGAGCACTTGGACACAATGGCAAATGAGCTCTGTTTCAGTACGTGTTGAACAGCACTCAAATGTTAGCGTGAAATGGATGTTATTTTTACTTTTGTAGTATCAAAACTCCAGTATCAAAGCTAGTGCTGGGCAAAGATTAATCGCATCCTGTACTGCAGGATTTATCACATCCTGTACTGAAGGTGGCAGGCAAGATCATTGGTTCTAACCAGACTGGTCCAATGGTAATCTACCATAATTGTGTTCTAAAGAGAGCTCAGGGTATCCTATGCACCCCGGATCACCCACTGTACTCTGTATTTCAGCTGTTGCCATCAGGACGTCGTTTTAGGGTTCCGATTTGTAGGACAAATAGAACCAGAAATTCTTTTATAATGGTGGCCATTAGCTCATTAAATGAGTCCAGGGGGGAGGGGGATGTTTCTATATATTGATGTGTGGATTAATGTTTACATGGAACTTCGCCTGTGTTATGGTACCTTGTTGCAATTTTAGTTTCCCTAACGGGATATTAAAGCTGAGTCTGAGTCTGTATTATGAATCTTTATTGTGTACATGTGATGCACACACATACATAGTAACAAAAATGAACAAAACAAATTTGTTTCATAGGTATTTAAATTGATATATATTTTGTGGCGATGCAGTGGCTCAGTGGTTAGCACTGTCATCTCACAGTAAGACGGTCGCTGGTTCGAGCCTTGGCTTGGCCAGTTGCCATTTCTGTGTGAAGTTTGTATGTTCTCCCTGTGTTGTTGTGGGTTTCCTCTTCCCCAAACACATGCGTTTTAGGGGAATTGAATGAACTAAATTGGCAGTGGCGCAGTAGGTAGTGCTGTCTCCTCACTGCAAGAAGGTCGCTGGTTTGAGTCTCGGCTGGGTCAGTTGGCATTTCTGTGTGGAGTTTGCATGTTCTCCCTGTGTTTGTGTGGGTTTCCTCCGGGTGCTCCGGTTTCCCCCACAGTCCAAAGACATGCTGTACAGGTGAATTGGGTAGATTAAATTGTCCATAGTGCATGTGTGTGAATGGTTGTTTCCCAGAGATGGGTTGCGGCTGGAAGGGCATCCACTGCGTAAAAACGTGCTGGATAAGTGGCAGTTCAGTCTGCTGTGGTAACCCCTGATTAATAAAGGGACTAAGCCAAAAAGAAAATGAATGAATGAATGAATTGGCCGCAGTGTATGAGTGTGTGTGTGTGTAAATGAGTGGGTATGGGTGTTTTCCAGTTCTGGGTTGCAGCTGGAAGGGCATCTGCTGCATAAAACATACTGGAATGGTTGGCGGCTCATTTCCGCTGTGGCGACCCCTGACTAAGCCGAAGGAAAATTAATGAATGAATATATAATTTGTGTCCTATGCACATATATTTTATATCTAAATATAAACTTTCTCAAATATATGCATGCACATGTGTATTTATATGTACATGATAATTATACAGAGTAAATACACTTAAATTATGGCGAAACAAACATATTTTGGATGCGATTAATTGCGATAATAACAAATAATATAATAATAATCGGTATATTTATTCATTTAAAAATAATAATAATTGAAAAAAAAACTATTTTACTGACACATACTGTGTTTCAGAAGCTGTTTGTTTTGTGCTTCATCCTCATGTTTGTTGTTGCTAACAGGTGAAGTTCCAGGCTTGTACTCCACTGAAGAGCTGGAGCCTCTGCTGGCGTCTCTGAAAGATCAGGCGTCACAGGATGGCTTCACCGGCCCGGTCCTCAACTATTTCTCACACCGTAAGTAGTAATCAATCAATCGATTTTCAGATATCATTTAAATAAATGTTTCGGTTTGGGCGATACGTTCCAGGTGGAACTTTTATTTGGATGGTGTGGCAGACTTTACCTTTGATGATTGCTTGAATTAGTCATGAAGGCAAATAATAGTTTTCTCGTTGTGTAATATTGCATAAATGGAAATGTTTAGGTGGTAAACCTTGACTGTTTATTGTTATTATTTGCTTAAATAATTGAATACAATAAAATTATCATTTATTAGCTTCTTTTATTTGAATTTGAAGGTCAGTTTGGAAAAATTACAAAAAAAGGTATCATTGTAATTCGTGTTATTTTAATAGTGTGTTAATTGTAGGGTATTTTCTCTTATTACTTTATTCACCTTATTCTCCACATATGAGCAGGCGCAGCCATTTGAATCTTTTTGGCTCGAGACTTCCACTCCCATTTACTTCCATTCATTTTTAGATGCTAAAAACGGTTGCTTGATGTTGCAAACTGATCTTTTCTTATTATATTATTCTACTTCGTCTGTATTATCATGCAAACTCTTGTTTGTCGAGCAAGTAGTTTGATTGTTTTCTGCCGTTTATTATTCATTATTATCCTAGTCATTTCTCCCATAGGAAACTCAATCAGAAGTTCTAAAACAATCGCAAAAACGAGCGCACTTCCACATTCAAGAATCAGGTCTTCATAGGTCTTAATAGCTGGAACAGTATTTTTGTTAAAGTTTTTTGTTAATTGCAATTAAAAATATCTATAAACAACCTCACAACCAAAATCATTATGACATTACAAACACTTCATAACAAAAGTCTTGTTGTCGATGCCAGTTGTAAGAGCAACAAATATGAACTTCTAGTTGATCATTTGTAAAAGTGGCAGAAGGTCGACTTTTCTGCTGAATCATCTGTTGATCTGCATCCCAATCATCACCAATACTGCAGAAGACCTACTGGAACCCACATGGAGCCAAGATTCTCACAGAAATCAGTGAAGTTTGGTGAAGGAGAAATCATGGTTTGGGGTTACATTCGGTATAGGGGGATGTGCGAGAGATCTGCAACATCAACAGCCTGAGGTATCAAGACATTTGTGCTGCCCATTACATTACAAACCACAGGAGAGGGACAATTCTCCAGCAGGATAGCGCTCCTTCTCATACTTCAGCCTCCACATCAAAGCTCCTGAAAGCAAAGAAGGTCAAGGTGCTCCAGGATTGGCCAGCCCAGTCACCAGACATGAACATTATTGAGCATGTTTGGGGTAAGATGAAGGAGGAGGCATTGAAGATGAATTCAAAGAGTCTTGATGAACTTTGGGAGTCCTGCAGGAACGCTTTCTCTGCCATTCCAGATGACTTTATTAATCAGTGATTTGAGTCAGTGCAGAGATGTATGGATGCAGTCCTCCAAGCTCATGATGGAGTCAGATACAATATTCATTCTGTCTCCACTGCAGCAGGACTTTATATTCTATACTGGACATTATTTCTGTTCAGTGATGAGACTTTAGTCTAAGCAGAGTCAGACCTTACTGTCCTAATCAAATCATTAGTAATCAAGGCATGATCAGATTTTATTGTGCTCAAATTACCAAAATCTAGAGGCCTTTACCTTTCATATAAGACACTTCTGATACCAAATCATCAACTTGAAGTCAACTTATTATTTGTTGTTCCTAAAACTTAGATAGGCAAAACTTAGATAGACTTTTGTCAGTAATTCAGACTATTAATACATCCTATAGTCCTATATAAACAGCGGTGTGTGTGTGTGTTTGCGCAGGTGTTCAGCAGAACCTGCATGTGGTTTTGATCATGGACTGCACTAACGAACACTTCACCATCAACTGCGAGAGTAACCCTGCGCTCTACAGGAAGTGCTCAGTGCAGTGGATGGAGAGCTGGAGCGACAGCAGCATGAAGAAGGTGAGCACACAAAACCAGTGAAAGAAAACATTGCATTCGTTCAGCACATAACACACTGAATCTCCTGCAGATCCCTGAGATGCTGCTGTCCAGGATTGAAGAAGACGAAAAAACTGAAGACAAGCAGAGGAAGAAGAAGAAATCTGGTAGGATTGTGTAGAAAAGTATTGCTGACGCGGCTGACTCTTTCTGTGAATAAAAATGACACACAGTTGAAGTCAAAATTGTGAATAGTTGACAGTTCATTCCGCTGTGGCGACCTCTGAATTAGAGACTAAGCCAAATTAGAGACTAAGCTGGTTTGAGCCTTGGCTGGGTCAGTTGGCATTTCTGTGTGGAGTTTGCATGTTCTCCCTGCGTTCGCGTGGGTTTCCTCCGGGTGCTCCGTTTCCCCTACAGCCCAAAGCAACCCGGGCTCATTGTGGAAACGTAGCCTCGCGGACTTTTCTGCGGACTGCAAGATACGTCTCGGGAGAAACGTATTCGAGCGTTTTTTGTTTTCGTGGAGCCGTTCGCGCCCGCGCCAATCTCGTGCGAAAAGCCGCCGTATCAGCCGACGCGGCCGCCCTGCTCTTCCTCCTCCTCCTTCCCTAAACCCGAGCGACGGTTTGCAAAAGCTGTCCGAAAAAAAAAAAAAAAAAAGCATAATCCCTCGTCTTCGATTTCGACCACGTTTTCGGATCCCGCCGCGTTCTCGCCCTTATTTTTCGGATTCTGTTTTTCGTCTTACCTGATTTCTGGAACCGCTGTTCCCCGGACTCGATCCCGGTCGTCGTCCCCGCGGCCGGCTCCTCCTCCTCCTCCGGGGCCTCCGCTCCGCCGACGCAACGCTGTAAGCTAAGCGGACAAACTGGTTGCATCAGGAAAGCCCTCCACTCGGAGGCGAGCCGTTGGCCGGCGAGCGCGAAGAGGAGGAGCGGAGCAGCGCCACACCGCCCCGCAGCGTTCGCGCGAAAAAAACTAAACGCATCCGTACGTACCTCCGGCCACGTAAATCACAGTCTCCAGAAACCTCCGCGGGGCTACGTTTGCAGAATGAGCTTAGGTTGGCCCAAAGACAATTGGTTCAGGTGAATTGGGTTAAAATTGTCCGTAGTTTATAAATGTGAATGAGTGTGTCTGAATGTTTCCCTGAGATGGGTTGCGGCTAAAAGGGCATCCGCTGCATAAAACTTGCAGGATAAGTTGCGACCCCGGATTAATAAAGGGACTAAGCCGAAAAGAAAATCAATTAATGAATGAATAACGTGTACGGGACTTATTGCTGTACACCAGTGGTCACCAAACTTGTTCCTGGAGGGCCAGTGTCCTGCTAATTTTAGCTCCAACCCTAATCAAACACACCTGAACAAGCTAATCAAGGTCTTACTAGGTATACTTGAAACATCCGTGCAGGTGTGTTGAGGCAAGTTGGAGCTAAACCCTGCAGGGACACCGGCCCTCCAGGACCAGGATTGGTGACCCCTGCTGTACACGGTTGACCTTCTCTCTAACTGATTGTCTTTCAGCATCAGTGCACACAGAGCTCTATCGCTCCTTCCTGGCGATCCACGAGTCATGCCGAGAGTTTGGAGCCACACCGAGTCAATACCTGAACTTCCTGCAGGTCTACCAGTCCATCTACAGCTCCAAACGCAAAGAGCTGACGCACAAACAACAGCACCTGCAGGTACACACCCTCACAATACAGCAAACTACAATACTGCCCAACAACATTTAAGTTTCCATTCATTTCTTTTCCATGGGGACGCATGAAATAATGTTATCTGGCTTTAATTAATTAACATCAGAGCTGGTATTAAATCAGTATTGTTAAACAAACTATTTTCTATGGAGAAAGTGAATGCATTTTCCTTCCTGAACTGGCTGAACTATATGTGACTGCAGGCGGGCGTGGCCAAGCTGAACGAAGCGAAGGCATTGGTGGACGAGCTGAAGAGGCGTGCCGCCGAGCAGAGCAGTTTACTGAAGACCAAACAGGCTGAAGCAGACGCCGCTCTGCAGGAGATCACCACCTCGATGCAGGTGTGTGTGTGTGTGTGTTTGAGCAGATAAACCAATAGTAAATGATACTCTGAGTGTATTTACACATGCTGGGTTTCAGAACGCCAGCGACCAGAAGACAGAGATGGAGAAGATCAAGGAGAGAATGGCACACGAGGTCTCTAAGATTGAAGAGCGCAAGAAGAAAATCGATGAGGAGCTGCGAGAGGTTCAGGTCAGGAAAGTGGAGAAAGAATAAAAAACTTAGACCGAGAAAATTGCTCTAAAATCTGCCCAAAAATGAAATAACAATAAAGATTTATACTTGTCACGGCAACATTTCACATTTCTTTTCATTTTTTTTATAAGTAAATAAATAAACAAACATTTTGATAGTAATGATAGTCATATAATAAAATATATGCATTGAATTTAATTTTTGATTTTACTGTGTTTATCTTTTGTTGTTTTTTTAACACTGTTTTAGTGTTACTTTAATGTTTTTACTTCTTCAAAATTTTATGATTGAATTTAGAATTTTTTAATTCCATGTCATTCATTCATTCATTTTCCTTCGGCTTAGTCCCTTTATTTATCAGGGGTCGCCACAGCAGAATGAACCGCCAACTTATCCAGCATATGTTTTACGCCCTTCCAGCTGCAAATCCAGCTGGGAAACACCCATACACTTTCTCATTCACACACGTACAATACGGGCAATTTAGTTGATCTAATTCACCTTTAGAGGTGACCACCAAGTCACACGGGTAACCGGTTGCAAAAACCTATATACAACATGGTGTCCGTGGGGTCTTAAAATCGTTGCTTTCCCTTTGCCACTTGTTTCTCGTGGCCCGTGGGAAAATATCTTTACATTAAAGTGACGCTACTGCTCAGCACGTATCATCTCCCGATTATTTCACTCATTTTACAGCTTTAAAGTCATTATTTAAGAAATGTAGTCTTCTTCTTTATATTAGTCAGTGTCTTTCTTACCCCCGTGCTCGCGTGGGTTTCCTCCAGGTGCTCTGGCGCTATAGGTGAATTGAATAAGCTAAATTGGCCACAGTGTAGGAATGTGAATGAGTGTTTAAGTATGTTTCCCAGTGAAGGCGTCCGCTGCATAAATCATATGCTGTATAAGTTGGCCGTTCATTGCGCTGTGATAACCCCAGATCAATAAAGGCACTAAGCCGAAAAAAATAAATGTGTGTGTATATATATATATATATATATATATTTTTTTTTTTTTGCTATTAAGTGACTATAAAGTTTTAATCATTATTAAGAGGTTAAGTGAATTAAAATGGCATCAAATTATGGCAGGTGAATGTTAACATTACTTTGATTAAGCTTGATCTTAAGACTTAGCCTGAGAGTTAGCCTGCCCCGCACCAGGCTAGTTTCCCAGCATAAGTTGCCGGGGTAACTAAGTTTGAACTATCGTTAATTTGATTTATGAAACCGAATCCGCCATTAATAAACCTGACTTACCAAAATAAGCCTGGCTTTTTCTGTAAGCTTGGTTTATGGAATAGTCCCCAGAGTGGCAGAACCCTGACAGTACAATAACTTGCCTAATTACCCTAACTAGCCTAGTCAAGCCTTTAAATGTGACTTTAAGCTGAATATTAATATAATGAAAATATTTAGTCAAATATTTTGTGCTGTCATCCTGGTAAAGATGAAGGTAATCACTTATGAAAACTAGTATGTTTAGAAATGTGTTGAAAGAAATCTTCTTACTGTTAAACAGAAATTGGAGAAAGACAAATACAGAGAGGCTAATAACTCAGACTTCAACTGTATGTGTGTCGTATGCTTGTATGTGTTCAGCCGCTGGTGGACGAGGCGAAGCAGGCCGTGGGGAACATTAAATCTGAGTCTCTTTCTGAGATCCGCTCTCTCCGCATGCCGCCCGACGTCATCCGAGACATCCTGGAGGGAGTGCTGAGGCTCATGGGAATCTTCGACACGTCCTGGGTCAGCATGAAGAGGTGAGAGAGACAGACGCTCTGCTTTATTATTCC